TTTGGCTATTATTCCAATTTATAGACATTGAGGAAGAAAAGACACACTGAAAAATGAGGTTAACTAACTCAGAGTTAATGTCAATTAACTAGAAGGTGTTCTTAATGAAACCCCATCTAAGCCTATCGTAGGCTTTCTCCAAATCCAGCTTAATCATCATATAACTATTATTTTTAGAAAGGGAGCTAAAAGAGTGAATCAATTCTTGAAGAACTAGAGTATTATCTATGCCTTATCTTCCAAGGACAAAGTTGAACTGATTCGCAGAAATCAAATAAGGTAGAGAACCTCTAATCCTATTAGCAAGGATTTTAGTAATAATCTTATAATTAACATTACCTAAAGAAATAGGCCTAAAATGCATAAAGTGCTCAGGATTCTCTGTCTTAGGAATAAGGACAATGGAGGTAGCATTAACATCAACAACCTTAGCAGATTCTTTAGACACAGAGGACACAAAATTATAGATAAAAAAGGAAAGGAAATCTCATTGGCTTTTATTAAACAAAGCATGGATAAAATTGCCTATACTAAACAAAGCAGATTTAACTTCAGCCATGGAGAGATCAACATTTAGGGCAGCCACCTCAGGAGCGGGAAAAGTGGATGAAGTGATGAGAGGAGGGTTATCAGGGTAGAGGTCCCAGTAAATGTTTCTGAAATACTTAACAGTAAGAGATTTGAGTTTCTAAGGGTCGTATTCCTAAGAGTAACAATACTATTCTTTTGTGCATGAGCAACCACTGCTTTATGAAAAAAGTTATTGTTTCTATCTCTAAGCTTAAGCCAATTAGATTTATACTGATGGGCCCAATATAATTCTTCAGATCTTTTGGTATTCCAACCAAAGAGTTTTCATAAGGTTTCTAAGAAAAGGATTATCATTAGAAGTCAGTTTACCAAAAATACCCTGGATTCTATTTAAAAGACATCTTTTTCCTTTTAAAGATATTACCAATGACATTATAATTTCAACCAGAAATATTATTTTTAAAACAACTTAAATTTTCATTCCAAGACCTAGAGGCCAGCCAAGAGTTCCTAACTTGACTAGAGAAATCACTATGGTACAACCCCCAGGAGGGCTAGGAACTTAAAAGGTTTATTAGAAAAGGCAAATAAATCCTTATTCCTTATCTTTAACCACAACCCATCATGGTCAAATTTTAATAGGGGAATATGAATCAAGGAGCTATTCTGGAACAACATTTTTCAATAATCATTTACAACGACTCTATCAATTCTCTCCCTAATGTTGCCTTTATGCCAGGTATAGAGGTTTCCTTTAAACCCCAAGTCTTGAAGACCACAAATGTTCATATAGTTCACAAACTGCTAGATGAGGTGAGGATTAGCAGGCCTCCCCCTAAAATTTTTATGTTGGTACAAAACTAAATTGAAATCCCTAACTAGACAGTAAGGCTTCCTCATAGTGGTACTGAAATTAGTTAAAAGTTGCTAACATTCAGCTCTCAGGACTTCTTAGAGACTAACATATATGGAAGTTAAAATCTAGTCCCAAACCCCATTGCTAATATTAAGGTGGATCGTGTATTTGTTATTAGCTAAAGCATTAAGAGTAAATTTTCTAGTATTCCAGCAACACCAAATACCTCCAGCAAAACTCTTAGCATTCACTTTCACCGATCCATCCAAGTTTATTCTTTTATTGACATCATCAACTTTAGCAGCACTAATTCTAGGGTCAAACAGGGCAATAAAATCTAACTTATAGATTCTAATTAGATCATTAACTAGTCTATAAAAAGTCTTGTTCCTTGCCCCCTACAATTCTAAAATAAACAATTCATGAAAACTTAGTAAATAGGATTATGAGCATCCTCATGATGCTAAGGCACCACGCTAGAGCTCGGCAGAGGTTGCATACTCCCAACATTGTTAGAATCCAACCCTTCCCTAGTTCCAAGGTCCATGGACAAAGAGGCATCTGGGGGTCTATTAGTAGGGACCTATTTTTGGAAATTCTTATTAATCCATTAAGTATCAGGATTTAGGCCTAAAAGGTTTTGAATAGAATTCCCTAACTTAGCATTCTTTTGGATGTCATTTTGAAACATTTTCATTAGCATTAAAATTTCTTTGAATCCTACACTGCTCTTGTCTGTGTTAATATTTTCCACAGCTAAAGCATATGAGGTACAGACTCTCGTACTCTACTTTGAATTCTTGCCCTAAGACTTTAAAGGCTAGAACCAACTCTCTTCTCAAATATTTCTCTATGCATATCTTAGCAAACTTTTTCCTTGACACCAAAGACGTATGGGGATCTACTTTCAACATTGAACCTAAGCAATTACCAACTTGCCACAAAAATTTATTATTATAAAGCTCAAGGGTTCCTAACCCACACTACAATCTTTCTCAAATTATAGTCCTTAGATCTAAATAGGGGGTGCCATCTCTGAACTAGAAGATAGTGATCTGATTCAAGGTCCTTCAAACAATGCATTCTTGTAATCATCTAGATTTTCAAACTTCACAAGAAAATAGTTATTATTAAGATCAAGGATTTTCAAAACCCTTTTTTTCCCCCAAACATTGCTTAGTTTCTGATTCAAGTAACTAAAGCTCAATGATTTACCTAGAAGTTTTACAATAAGCATTAATTTCTAAGGAAAGCACCAAGTTTCATAATCATCTAGATGTATTTTCATATCTAGACATAAATCCTTAGGGTTATCAACTAACTTAGAATTCTCCTTAGTTTTTGGGTTCATATTAAAGTCTTTAAAAATTGATTTTAAGATATCATCATCATTAAGAGTTAGTTCCATATCTTTATATTCAAGCATAATATCTTTACAGAAACAAGAATCTAAGAGTTTGGAAGTAGAAAACACTTGATTCACTTTCTCTTCTCCAGCACAAAATTGGTCTTGCATGTTCCCAATCATTGCCATTTCTGAATTATCGTCACTCATTTTGATTTTCTTTATGCTTCGATCTACAAGATTCAATTCTTCTGTGGATCGTTTCTCTACATCATGGCATTCCATAGTTTCATATCTTCTTGGGTAAAAAAAAAAAAACCTTCCACTGTTCCTCCCTCACACTTACTCTAGGTAGATCCACTTTGAACCAAGACCTCACGACCCTCGCTGAGCAACTAAGATAATCAACCTAGCGACACCTCTCGAAACTATCTTGAAAAAGAGAGAAGGGGATTTCTTGAAATCCTAGCCACAACCGATAGAGACTTTAACTTTTAAAAAATATTTGAAATTTTTTATTATATATTTATCATTTAAATATAATTTCTATTTGCCTTGAGCTATCTACTTGGTTATTAATTACCCTTTTTTCCTTTTGTCGACAATTTATTAATTAGTCTACAAAACATATAGTTGTCTAAGTATTTCGGCTTCTTTGTCACCCTATTGGGCCGATTTGATATCCCTAGGGCTCCTTGCTAGCCATGTCCACATCCTCATCACCTAAATCTTGTATCGAATCGTAAGTGACTAGTCCTGCTTTCATACACACAAGCCAAGCCAAATAAAAAGTTGAAGAGCTACGTTGCCCTCTCTTTTCGAAATAGACAATGATTTTATTGGTTGGGTTTGTCCATATATTATGCCCAACGACGCATGTCCCTAATTTCGCACTGCTCCAAGGTCTACAGAAACCTTTCCCAATCACTATCTTCACAGCTTAGCAGAACGACAACGAAACATGCAATGCACTACCCAAATTTCCTTAAAAATATGCTATTTTATTCGGAAACAATATTGGAATATATGAACATGCAGCGTGTTTGATGTTGCAACTTTCAGACCCAATTTTTACTCTTGGCCGGACAAAGTTTTGTCCTTTGCAAACATGTTTGGAAAAATATGACCTAATTCTAATATAAATTATCTCATTTAAGAATTTAGATAATTAAAATCAAATATAAATCACCTTTTTCTTTGTAAAATATGAAAAATAAAACAAAACAGGAATATAACTAAATATAGTTAATCGTATTTTTTATTTAAATAAAAATAAAAAATAATATTTCTCGGATTGAGTAGAATTGTAACTTACTAAGCCAATTTGAGTTATTTAAAAAATTAGATAATTAAAATTAAACATACACCACTTCACGTCAACTAAACACCGTGTTAGTTGTTTTAATTAAGGTCGGTTGCTGATATATATGGATGTTTTTCACTTGATTGGCGAGAATTGATTCCTTCTAAGCAAGAGAGTTAAATTATCGAAATCGATATAAATATTTTTAATAATATATATATATATATATATATATAATTCAATTATTTATTATATATCTCTTTTTTGGTTCTCCCTATTTCTCTGATTCGTACGTCCTAACACTGCATATTTTAAGGATGATCTCTCATTATTTATATATCGACTCTTTCCTTCTTTCCAATAATTAAATATTATTTTATGTATGGACACACGGAAAGCAAAAAGGCTAATATAGGTCACTTTACTGGTACGGACAAGTGATAATTTAAAAAGAAAATAAAACACAACGAATAATAGCAATAGGGGGAATAATCAGACGAAACTTGGTAATAAAGTAAAGGAGGTGAGGTAGTCCAAATAATTGGAGAAACAAAAATGAAAATGGAAAATAGGAAGAGAAGGTGCAACGAGAACAATTTGAAATGGTAAAATTAGTGTGGCGTGAAAGAGCCAAGGGTTTGACCTGATCCATGATCACAAAATCAATGACTGCAACGCGAGGGTTATCTTCTAATAAGTTGTAGAAAAGTCGAAATGAGAAAGGTTAGCGCGTAAAGACAGAGTGGGAAATGGGGACGGTTAGTTGGAAGTAGGCTGGACAACCGCCATTGCGACAGCGATGTCTCCTCAGCCTGTAAACCGACACATGTAGTTTAGTTAACTTGCAACAATAAAAAAGCTTCAGCAATTCTCTTGACCCATTACTCACAAGTCACATCACACACCGCCCTGCACGGTTATATAATTCTATAAATATATGCTGCCTCGCACTTGCAAGTAACATTCTCCGGAGGAATCCAATTTTTCAGAAACATTTGGTGTTTGATCTCTTTCACGCTAGAAAGCCATTACAACAATATGGGTTTTGGTGCAGTTAAAGTGTTTGTGATATTGGGGCTTTTGGCCACCTCATGCATAGCACAAGCACAAGCACAAGCCCCAGGAGCAGCACCTTTGCAACCACCCACGTCAGCACCTGCCCCATCACCCACCACAAAGACACCATCTCCTGCTCCAGCCCCGTCAGCACCCGCTTCTTCTACTCCTCCACCACCCTCCACAACTCCAGCGCAGGCCCCAAGCACCAGCACTCCTTCACCACCTGCACCAGGCCCAAATAGCCCAGCTGCAGGCCCAAATGGCCCAGCTCCAGGCCAACCAGCGGCTGAGCCTCCCTCTGCTGCATTCTCCATCAGCAAAACCTTCATTGCTGCCACTGCTCTTGCTGGAACCTTCGTCGCCGTGGCTTTGGCTTAATTACGAGGCTACTAAACTAAAAATAGGATTCGTGCTTATGAGTTATGATGCTTCCGCGTTGAAGCGCATTAGTTGTTGATATTTTTGTTCATGGACGGACGGGCCCTGGTCTTTGTTGAGTTACTTCTATTTATCTATTCTTTTGTTCTCTATTCATGTTTTTGCTTTGGGCTTGTTTATTACTGCATTAATTGATGATTAGCATTATACTATCATTATTGGGTGGTTCTTTGTTGAATTTCGCTCTTGTACGTAGATGACCATGATTTCAATGTACTTGTAATTATAGAATTATAGGGAAAAAAAGGTCTCTCACGGACATGTGCTTTCTTTAATTCCCTCTTTTCTGATACTTTCATTAAATGGAATAAATTAAAATATTAAGGATTGAATTTGTGTACGCAAGTTCAAATTTCCAAAACTTTTCTTAGTAGCATACATTTAATTTACTAATTTGCCATGCTTTCTGTCGATACCTTCAATGTCCTGTTTAAAAATAAAATAAAAGATACAATCAATACTTACATTTTTTAAAATTTTAAAAATATAAATAATCTCAATTTTAGAAAAATAAAGTTATATTTGGTTAAATTATTTCTCACTCTATTAATATTATTACTTTAATATATTTAGAGAAAATAAAAATCAAGTTGAAAAATAGTTATGGCCTTTTGATTTAATAAACTAATATAAAAATATTTGTGAACGACTATAGGTATTTTGAAATGGAGAAAACATGTATTGTGCCTGCTTTTTGATTTACAATACCGATTCTAATTATTTACAGTTAAGATTTGGCTGGTTTTAATGAAAAATAAAAATTGATAAAAGAAAATGTATCTCTTGTCATATCTCAAAAAACATAAATATGGTAAATTATATATCATTTTATCGTCGGATTTATAACAATAACAAATGATTTTTCAGAGAATATTAAATAATAGTATGGGTGTTTTCAATTTTTGGTCCATAACAATAGTATTGGGGTACGTTGGGTTAGTTTAGCCGGATCCAAATAAAAGAACAGAAAAAATCATAGCTGGGTCGTTATATCCAAGTACATACATAACCACGCCCAAGCTAAATTGCTGCTGTTGACAGATTAAAAGTTGTTGACCAAAAAAACAAAAGATAGGTTGAAAGTTTAGAAAACCAAAGATATATATTGATTCGATGCACTCCATCACATGACGCTTTAGGCCTGCGAAGCAATTGTTCAAGGCCCCAAAGTCACTTAAGGTTTCGAAAAATTTTTTATTCCTTTAATAAAGTTGCAAATTTATGTAAATAAATAATAAGTTATTCAAAAAAATTTATATTAAAATTAATTTACTAGCAACATCATAATCAATATTAATTTTTAGTTTTATATTTTAGTCATTGTTATAGTTCTTAATCTTATCTATTAATAACCGTGTCAATTAAATTTTCATAACTATCTCAAAAATTTTAGTTCATAAGGATATCATGTCATTTGATTTTAATTCCTATTCAAATTTTATTGTTATAATCCCAAAAAATTAAAAAAAATTAAAACTTAACAAAGGATTAAATCACTTTTTTTTAAATGTAAGGACTAAAACTAAATACATTTTTTTATAGAAACTAAACTGTTATTTAAGTCAAATTTTAATTATTTTTTGGCTTATATTTTATTTATTATTATTACTTTCTTTTAATCGTCTGTTGTTAGTTATTTTGTGATTTATCTCTTTTTGGGTGTTTGTTATTTCAAAACTAAAAAATTGTTTGGAAAAGAAAATTTTAGAAGAAATAAAAATTAATTTTTAAATTTAAATAAATGTATTTTATGATAATTTTTAAAATAAAAATTATAAATAATAAATCAACATAAATTTAATATATTAAGCACTTATTTATTATAATAAATAATATATAATATTATAATTTTTTTAGTATTTTGGATTTGAATTTTGTATAAAAATAAATTATTGTTTTGAAATACAGTATTATTATGATATAACACTCTCGATCTAAACAAAATTATCTTTTATAACATAGAAAAGAAAATCTAATCAAACTTGTATATATTCTTTAAAATATTTGGCCGTGATAAAAAACTTGAAATAAACTAGTTGGATCCATTAAAGATATTTAAACTAATATGAATCAATGTTAATCGATTTCCTGGAAAAAATGATAGCATGATTGGTTTGAATAACAACGTAAATGGTGAGGTATAAAAAAATTAAATTAATATAAAATGTATAAACTATGACCTAAACTATAAAACTCTTTTTTTAATTTAGAATAAAATCTATAAGAAAATATTATTGAATAGTATAACCGGTGTAATAATTTATATTATTATATTTTGATCTATCGTATGTTAAAACTTGATATTATTTTATTTAATAATTTTAAATAAAATATAAAATTGAACAATTCAATTATTAAATCATTTTATTATATTTTTACGGCGATATATCAAAATTTAAACAATATATGATTTAAAATTTGATAATTACTTATATTTTAAAATTATATGATATGTTAAAATAAAATAATGTAACGAAATATTTATTAATTTTATTTTAAAAAAAAATTAAAATATTAATCTATTTAGTAAGAATTTATAAATTAATAATTAAATTAACTAATTTTATATTACGTGAAAAGTTATTAAATAATATAAATATTTATTATCTTAATTCTTTCTGTACATGTGTGTATATATGTTTACAAGCGGCCAGACCTTGCAAAACATTGTCATTTCATTTGACAAGAAAAAGTTGGTATTGCTTGAATTTGCAATGGCAAGAAGAAGAATTTGTGAGACTGTTACTCGTACCAGTAATTTATTTAATTGATTTTATTTAATAAAAAGGATAAATAATTAATAGCAAACATAAGAAACAAAATACAGTAACTTGCATATCGTAAAACATCTACAACATTTAAAAACCATTGTCTCGTGTATAGGGTCTAAACTCCATTTGCTCTATAAATTAATGCATAAATTGATGATAATAGTACGATGTTTAGGATAAAAGATCTTCCTGAAAGCTTTGATCAATTCCTTTTGATATTTGTTAAGGATGCAATGATTAAAAGATTGAGAAGGGTGGAAAAACAGGTATATCCTGATCTGGATCAAGTCAAGGTGCAGTTCATCCGAATCCAGACAGAAGCGGAGGCATTTTGTTGAGATAATGTTCATCTCTTACCTTTTCTTTCATTGATTCCTTCTTTCCGTAAAGGTGATGTCTACACACACCAATGAATTAAAGAAGGGTCAAGACAATGCCCTGTGTCTACGAAGTACTGGCTGGTAAATTCAGTTCACCACTCCACTAAAGGAAGTGAAAACTTGTCTTCTCCTCAAACTGTCATTCTCAGCTTTAACTTAGTTTTTCTAGTGATGATTTCCACATGTTTTCAACAATAACACCGTATCTCTAACATAATTGCGTTATTGAAAATTACATTTTTGGATCGATCCCCCCAAAACCTTCGGCCCTTAAATCGAAATTTGCAGTCTAAATTAGAAGATCAACTTAGAAAAAGATAGATCCATTGACAATGCTTTTTACTTAAACCTGAGATAAATTAAGTTAGAATTACTTCTTCCGCAGTTGTTTCACATTTAATTAATTAAAAATAATTTGAATTGAATTGGATAATTTAACTTTAGAAGATCATTAATAGTTTTTTTATTATAATATAATACATACACAAATGTGTGTGTGTATATATATATATATATATATATATATATGAAACTTTACAAAGTAAAACACTATTAAATTGATTAGTTTTATAATTTTTATTTTTAAAAATTTCAACTTATTTGATTTTTTATTTAACTTTTACTATTCATATTAAATTAAATATATTTCTTAACGCTCGTATTAGGATTGATTAACGACTATTATGTGAAGGGATGAAATCACTTAATTAATATGAGACTTTTAACTAGAAAATAAAAATAATGATTCAGATGATTTTCCGTTGTAACACGAAATAGACTTTCAATTTCATTTTTATTTAAACAAATCCAAATTTGTATAAACAAATCTTCAATATGCTTTGCAAATATTAGCAAAAAATGTTTGAACAAATTTTATTAAAATTAAGGATGTTCACTTATGCTTCCTTTTCAATGGCTGCACTTCAACTAAGAACCTTTAAAGGTGAAAGTTATGTTGGTAGTAATGATATATGGAGAGAAGTTAGAAACAAGTTGTCTTGGCTCTCCTTATACAATTTAAGAGGTTCAAGTTCATCAAAATTGAAACTAATAATCAAGTTTGATTACCTTACAATTATTTTTTTTTAAATATATAACTGAACAATTCTATTATTGGTAGCTTGATATTGCTATGTTTCTCACTTGTTTGCATACAGCTTCTAAGTGTTGATATGCAAAAACTCGTAGCTACCTCTTTTAATAAAATTTTCATCTTTACTACCCTGAAACATTGTCGGAGTAACTGTCATTCCTAAGTTTAGTGAAAAATTTGCTTTGCTAAATTTAGCATAGCAGTCTGAAGATGTACATAAGTGAATTCAAATTTACTTAAATAAAAATGAAATTAAACATTTAATTTACACTATAACAAGAAAAAAATTAAAGTCTTTAGAAGAGTAAAAATATCTTAAAGGAATTAAAAACTTCCAAGGCATTCATTTATATGAATATAGAAAAAGATGAATATAATCTGTAAAAGATCTAACATAAATTAAATATGACTATTGAAAATATTTAGAATGTAAGAAACGTCTTTAATTTTTAACTAGACATTTATGTTGATCTGTTCCGAGGCACGGATTCGTCCAAATCACTGTGAACTAATTGTTTGCGACCAAAAGTGGATAATTTACCAAAATATGAAATACACATTTTATTTTTTTTTTCATTCAGTTTAATATGTATCCAACCCGAATCGCACACCTGGATGTAGTGGGTAAATCTATCATTAAAGATTTTTTTATATATATTTTTATTCATTACAAAAATATAATTAATTAAATAAAATAATTAAAAAATATCATTATTAAAACTAGTAGATATCAACAACAACAATAATAATATTTTTTCTATTAACATAATTGTATATTTAATATATGATTAATATTGTTACTTACTCTCCTCTAAACTAATTAAAAACATATTTAAGTCTCATTTTTCTAATTATAAATTGAATATTTGGGATTAAATTAATTAAGACACCTTATATAAATTCACGAATCGTTCTCACCGAGGATTTAAATCATGTGGTATAGGATTGTTATAGGTTAATCATTGATCGTGAGTTCAAATTTTAATAAAAGCAGTTGTATTAAATATTTAGAATTTTTTTTTATCCATAATAGTCTGATCTCACTTGAGTAAAATTATCTCCTATGAATGACACATAGAGTCTAAATAAAAAAAAATCATAAATTAATTTCAATCAAGAATATATCCAAAAGTACTAACTTCTTAATTTAATATTTAATTTTGTTGTGTGAAATGATTTGTGCCTGCAATTTGGAGGAACTTTAACCATAGGATCTTATCATGTTTATCTAATATAGTAAGCCTTGCCCATAAAAATGGGTCAATGCTTAATTGAACAGAGGAGAGTGCATGAGAAGATGTGTATAATTGTGTTCAACCTACTTCTAAAACGATGTCACAACAAGCAAAACATTATAAGGTGTTGGAGTATTGGGATTCATAAGTGTTGTTCAGCATGTAATTCATATGATATATATAACTTTAACATTAATTTATAAATTATTAAATATTCTTTTATCAAACTATATATCACAGGCAAGGTAACTCAAGATAGAG